AAATGCAATAACTGAACTGTCCTTAACAAAGCAGCCCATGCAGAATACCTATAGCGCTATTACACAGTGAAGTGGAAATAATAACCAAACAGAGAATATTCTGTGGAAGACACTACCTCAGACAAAAAACATCAGACCATTATAAGAATAAAAGACCAAACTGACCCAAAAATAGTATTGAAAGAAATTAAACAAAAGCTCAGTAACCAAACCAATGGTCCAGAAGTGTTTCCAAGTCTAAAAAAGCTACGAAGCGGAGCTGGGTTGGTGGAATGTGAAAAAGATGTTCAGCAAAGTGAACTAAAAGAAATGGATAAAAACTTTGCCTTGAAAGAAGCCCGGAATACGAATCCCCGGCATTATGATAACTGATATCGAAAAATGATGTGATCCGAATCAATTTATTATTGCACTTGTGGAGGAAAATCCAGAATTGCAAAAACTTTTAGGAGAAAACGGAACTAAAACGATCAAGTTTGTAACAAAAAAGAATTGTAGAAATAAACGTAAGGAAAATTTTTAGATGGTTTATACAAAACAAAAAAGTAATTAAGTAAAAAATAGACCAATATCCACAGTCCACTGAGTATGGGAGTAAACCTAAAAATGCTGATTCTTTTTTATAAACGATAAACAATCCCTGAATATACTTCTTTTTTGTAGACAATTAGAAAACGAACATGGTGGAAGTGCAATATTTGTGAGAAACAATATTAAATTTATGGCAAGAACAGACATTAATAACTTAAGTGAGAAGTTTATTGTCCAATGTTGTGGATGTTATGTGGAAAATGCAAATGTGTACAGGTAACTTTAGTCATATTATGATGTTACGATTTATGATGTAAAAGCGGGAGATTTCAATGTGGACCTCGTGTCCGAAGCGAGATGTACTTGAAAATTAATAACAATCATTAACTCATTTAATGCAAAGCAAACTATTTCTAGTCACACTCGTATAACAGGTAAAACTAGTAAATGTATTGATAATATATTAACAAATGTCGATGGCAACATGAAACACCAAGATTTCTGATCGCACTGCTCAGAAGTTAGCATTATACACTGAAATGCAGACACCTAACTATGTAAAAAAAATAAATTTTAATACAGCCAATAAAATAAAATTTAAAACCCCATTGCAAGGAATAAATTGGCGAGTACTCTATACACTAGACAAACAGCAGGTTAATAATTAGTTGTCGACTTTAATGAATTAGTTCCCAGAGAAGTTGCTCGAACATTTTCCTCTTTCTAAAGTGCCTTCTAGAAACTTTAAAAAACCTAAATATATAAAACGTGCCAAAATCAATGAGTGTAAAAGACAATTGGATATTCTTTTCGTTATTCCAAATGTAAATACTAGATATAAGGAGCTCTACATAGTAAAAAGGAAGGATTATGATAGCCTTCTAAAAAAATATAAAAAATATAATTGTGCAGATAGATTAAAAAACTCCAGAGACCACAAAAACAAATGTGCCTATAAATACTTTAAATGAATTGTTAATTAATGTTGCACCAAACTTGTTAAAATAATTAGAACATATACCTTAATCAAACCACAATAGTTCTACAACCAGTAGATGAAAAAAGAATACTGTGGTTGCATTTTCCACACATAATAAACAAATTCACTAAGACAGCATTAAAATACTTGCCTGGATTGTATTTCGAACTGATTTTATCAATAAAATTTATACCAAAATCAATAATGATTAAAGCTTTATTGAACTGTCAAACGGAAAACGGATTATTTAACATAAATTAATCCAGTTTTCGGAGAGATTTGCTTTTATTTCAGAAAGCAAACGATTTAATTTCATCTTAGAATATGTGATACAGGGTGTCCCATTTTGAAAAATGCACATTTTACCATTTTTGCTTCTCTTAGGCAAATCATTAGTTTTGGCCAACCCTGTACGATATCGAACTAATTTCGATATTAAAAGTAACCTCCCTAAGCTACGTCGAAAATTTGAACTTTCTACTGACTCCAGTGTCGTAGTATTGAAAATTTAATTTAAGCTATGTTTTGGCCGAAAAGTAAAGAAAATAATTAATTTGTCAAATACCACTAAGGATGTAGATACGAATTATTCAATAATACACATGGTTAAAAATATTTTAGATCGACAGGGCATCGCCGCGTACCGTCCGCTGTAAACCTGTAAGGTACCATCAACCGTGAAACATCCTGTATATGCTGCGTATATGCTCTAAGAGCGGTACACCATTATCAATAGGTATACCGCCATTGTTGCCATTATGAAATTGCAAGCGCCTACGCGCCGTAGTTTTATAAAAATTACTCGAGGGTCCATCAATCAAAATTCGAGCCGCAATTTGATCATAATTTTAATGAAAGAGAGATTTCCTTCGAATTTGATGAAAAATGGTTATTGCCAAGGATATTGACTTGGGAAATAAAATAATTGCGTTGGGACCGGATTTGTACGTGTCGTCTTTCTAGTCTCATGGTAATTTTATTAGGGTCAAACCAAATAGATTTTTTAATACGGACGGCTATGACGTTAAACGTATCGGTTATCGGACAGCCTGGTCAATCTTTAATATTTAATATGAATTAAGTGAATTGATACGTCCATATTGTCTTCTTGATATCTTGGACATTAAAGAAAAAAGTTTTAATAATCGGCTTGACACTGCTTTAATTATGGGCAAAATAAAGTAGTTAAAACAAAACACTATCATAATAGTATTCGTGTTTTGTGTCAAGAAAGACTTTGGACCTTTAGCATCAAAACAAATTACGGTTCTTATTTATCAGTGGCCGCCTCCATTAAATTAAGTCATCACTTATTAAATATTTTCCCCAACTGATTTTTTTAAGTTTTTCGTTTCCTTTTGGACACATAATTAGAGGAGGAGAAAGTTTTCCTCTGGAGACACCCTAATAATAACATAACAAACACAACGAATAGTTTAAGCCATTTTGTCAATTGCTATCATATAATTTTAGTATCTTCTGCCAAAAAATCAATATTTCCTTACAGCTAGAGATAAGTAGTCAAATTTCTAATTTTGGCATCACCTCCCTTCGTCTCTTTGATTGGAAAGATCATTTGAAGAAAATTGCAAAAAGAATGTTTTTTTATAATTCCTTTATAAACAATTTCACAACATTATATAGTATTATTAGCTAAAAAGTGTTCTTTCTTCGACAACCAAGTTTCCAGAACCTAAAAATGAAGCTTTCAAGCAGCTAACTCTGTTGTGTTCGTAAAGATGGATCCTAGTACACAACTCAACTTTTCTTGAAAGAGGTCATAGCATATCAGATAGAATTGAAAACAGAGAAATTTAAACGAAAGGTGATCCTATTCCAACAGCACAAATGTTTTTTTACTGTTTAAATTTAGAATTTTGTTGAATTGTTCATTGCCCTGTCTTTTTATTATTTAAAAATTGTTGGTATTTATTGTTTTTACGCACTGACACCAAAATGTCTGTAAAAAATTTTTGTAATGCTTCAAATAACTTGAACTTTGGTAAAAATATAATGACATATTTAAGAGTATGCTTTTAATATCGATTGGTTAACGTATCCAACGAAAAGGCCTTCAAAAGGAAGTCTTAATTACTTTTGAAATGTTAAAAATGCACGTACGAAATAGCCAAAAACAAAACCGGCATTTAACGTTTTTTCGCCGCGTAGTTGAGGCCACCAAAATTCGAGACGACGGTTCTCTTTTTACACGCTTCATTTGTTTTTTCGGAATATGCAATGCAAGACGTGTCGGGGAAGAAAAGTAATTTTCTCGTTCCCTCCTCTTCTTATCCAGAATGAAGTAGATATTTTATTTGGTTTTTGGGTGCGAAGTTAAACGATTTTCCTTGTTTTCTCAGGTTAAAGCTAACACATATCTTAGTTTACCATTACGTGGTCGGTGCTTAAAAAAATAAACAACGTGAATATCGGCCCTCCGCTTTTAGGTAAAATGAGAGTTACTTTAGTGCGTGTCAGGACTTTATTACTGTAGCCGAATAGTACAGTCAAATATGGTGACAAATAAACTCAGAATCTGAGAGGTGCGCGGAGAGAAAAATGGTGTTTCTGAATATTAAATCGGTTTTCATCACTCTGACAATAATTTAATTCCAAACGGGAAAACAATGACAATAAAAAAGAAAAAGGCTACTTTTAACATAAAATGTGATGGGTGTAATTGACTGTGGAACTTGTAGGTACACTTTTTCCGAATGTCTCCTGCGTCGGGTGACTAGTTTTGCTAACGTTTCGCCAAACATGCTACTGGCTTCTTTAGTGCGTTGTATGAAACTGAGGGCCGATTCCTGGGGTTTAATAGCTATTCGAATGACCCAATCCCAAATGAACGAGAGAAACCTGATCGCCGTTTATGTTATTAGAATATTTGCACCTAATTGTAATATCACATCACTATTCAGCCCAAATTTTTTTCCCGTAAACGATTCCTTAATTTTAACAAAAAATTAACCTATCTCGACTCAGTTTTTCTCTCAAATAAATTCCACTAGCAAGATATATGTTAAATTAAAAATTACACTTAACCACAGCCACTTACCCAAAACAACTACGTAAGTCACCCTTCCCTATGTTCATAATGTCACCAATTCAATATCAAAAATTCTGAAAAACAACATCAAAACTAGAATCTTTAGTTGTCCTAAAATCTCCAAACATCTACGATCAGCTAAATTAATGAAAAACATATATTCAAACAAAACAATTTGGCTGATGGGTGATAGATCTCTAAGAAACCCTAAATTCTTCTGACAAATTATCAAACAACTTAACCAACTAATTTAAGATGGTGAATATAGCAGGTTGGTGTTAACATTTCTTCTTTCGATTGTAATACCTAACCTACGTCATACTGTCAAAGTAAAATATCACGTAACGAAAATACTGACAATCATTGTCAAACCAGCTTTTGCCAAGGCAAAGAAAATATCGACTATTCCTTAGCAGATTAATCAAATAATTTTGCCCAAACATGTTGATAAACACATATCTCGCACTACTGTTAACGACCTCTTTAGAATGTTACGAACAGGAGCAAATCGAAACTAAAGAGTGCAGAGAAAGAGAGAGGCTGGTGACGTCCGACAAAGATGACCTCTACGCCCTGGTAGATGCTATCGAACGCCAGAGACTAATTCTGCGTTGCAGGTTTTGTAACGAAGCACACGACGGTCGTCCAAAGAACTGGTACAAGATCCCTCAATTGGGTATATCTGAACCATACGAAGTACAGGTACGACACTTCTAGAATACGGTAATATATATTTGTAAATGAGTATTAAATGAGTCTACAGAGGTAATTTCATTGCGAATTCGGTTTCTGAATTTTATCTACGTCAGCGTTCCAGGGTAAGGGATTTATGTAAGTCACCGACTGCGACGAGCATAGACTTTGAAGACCCCTATTTAACGGTATTGGTCTCGGTTTATTTTTCGAAGACTCGAGCCACTGTCGATAAGCCCTCTCGTTCTCCTCAATGCGCGTCAGCTTCTCCTCGTATATTCGTATCAATTGAATTTTTTCTTTGGTTTTCTTCTCGAGGTCGAGTTTTTTCTTTCGACGCAGCCACAACCGAAAATTCAAATCGTTCTCTACCTTCTTTTTCTCCTTTTCCGCGGCCCTTAAGATAGCTTCCATTTCCTCCAGTTGTGCTTTCTTTTTCCGTTCCTCTTCGAGAGCCCTTTTCTCAGCCAACCACTTTTTAAAATTCTCCTGTTCTTTTTCGATTAGAAGACGTCTCTGTTCTTCTTTTGCTCTGGAAACACGCTCGATTTCAACCTGTCGTCGCTTTCGTTCAGCTTCTTTTCGGGCAATCCAGGATTTGATCAGCTCTTCTTTCTCCTGTCCCTCGATTGACGTTCGGTTGCTATTTAGTTGAGTTAGGGATAGCCTTAATTCATCGCAGAATTTTTGGGTATCGCTGCCTGGTTTTATAGTCTCTTGGCTAACATTACTGCTATCCGTTGATGAATCCGCTGACGAGTTCAAACTGAATAGATCTTTATTGGATACTTTGATAACGGGAGTGGGATAAACACGAGCAGGATTTCCGGCACTGAGCGAAAGCGGGCTAATCTTCCTTGTCGGAGGCATACCTAATATCGGTTTTTCCACATATATGGCGGAATTGATGAATTTTCTCACTACCCTGATGTTATCGGTTGGATCGAAACTTTTGGCGGTTCGATAAATGTGTTCCGAATATTGATTAGATTGATGACCGATCATTTATTGAAACGCAAATATAAAAATTATTTGCCAGTAAAATAAGTAAACTAAAAAACGTCAAAAAACGTCAAATGCGCAACGACTGGTACCTAATACGTTTTTATTCCACTTTCACGTTCCAGGCGGATACTTATAACGACGTTGCAATGAATAGGATAAAAATAAATTACAAAAATAGTTTGATTTTTGAGAATTTCACTAGAGAAGACGTTGGGTTTTACTACTGCGTCAATTTTGAAGATCAGACTAATAGAGAAAAGTTTAATTATTTAGTGGATATCGTCTTTCAAGATGAGATTGCGGCAATGGAGAAAGGTAAAGATTTTAATTCTTGTTGAGCTACCAAAACCATGACCACTACAATAAATTTAAAGAAGTTATAAATGTAATATACTTACGAGGGAGAGGAGAACAACGTTGTTTCACAAACACAAAACTATACCACCGACATCTAACATGATTTTTTTTTCTACCGTTTTCAAATTTATATCTTGGACAGACACCTGTTTGAACTACGGATATGTTTGAAATATTTTGAATAATTCTTGCCTAACATCTCATAAATTTGTTTCGTTTTCAACTATCTTCGATACTGAGCTGTCTCGTATATTTCCATCGAGCACTCAAATGGGATGTGTTAGGCGGTATCAACCCCAGCCCTCTAGCTAAATGCAGCTCGCTCTGCGATCATATCCATTTCTTTGGGATAATAGCGAATAATTTAAAAATTTATGAAATTACGAAAACATTTGTTACAACATTCTGGATTTTTATTGGTTTCAATAAGATGATGATCTTTCTAAGATGGAAATTTACAACCACATAAGAAAATGTCAGTACACTCTGCTATTTATTGAACGTTAGGTATATATATTTGCACTGTTGTATATGTTAATTATTTGGAATAATATTTCACCAAATACATATATTTAATTTCTTTAACCAAAAGAGTTGAACTGACATAAATTGTTTATACTAAAACTTTTATATATATTCGTCTACATTATTCAATAAGTGTAAAGCAACTTTTAAGATAAAGTCAAATATTGACGCAAGTAAAAGATATTTACTATAAAGGTAAATTTAAATATAAAATATTGCAGGTTAACTAAGCTTAAGACTCTATTTTTGTAGAAATGAATATGCCAAAAAAAAATATCCATATAATAGAAGGAAAGTAAGAGATTGCGATTTAACTTAGCAAAATACAGTTTTTCGGGCATTTTTTCATGTTATAATGACAGAGGTATTTAGAAAAAATGCCAAAATCAAAGAAACTACATTTTGTATTAATAGAAGAATGAAAAGAAATTTTCAAAGGTAGTCCAGGATCAAGGATGGTTGCTTAAATTTTTTAACTTCAAATTATTGCGAAGACTATTGAACGACAATTAGTTGAGACGAAACTTTATAGTTTATAGTCCAGCAAAGAAGCTATTGCTTTCTGAAAGAAATCGCCCTGTCACGACGATATTTGACCTGAATAGAAAAAGATATTATTTAGGGACAAACCTCACAATTTTTAATTATAATGGAATGAGGCGAGTAAGGCGTAGAGTTAATATTAGATTCCAATAATAAAGTATGGAAAAAGTAGTGCGTTTTTGTGGGATTGGTCTTCCATGGAGTAGAGTAGGAGTAGAATAGGTCCGGACACAATTACTGGACTTCAATCCCAATGAGAACTTTTGGGAAAAGGTGCAACGTCAATTTCTGGTTACAAGATTCTCAAAAAATAATTTAATTGATAAAATTATGGCGAATGAATGAATGTGGCGATTATTACTATCCAAAACCTAATTTCATTAATGCTGTGTCGTTGCCAAAAAGTTGTAGCCGACAATGGATATCCTCTTAATTATTAAGAAAATGTGTTAATGTTTTTATGTATTTAACTGAAATATCGTTCTTTGAAAAGTTGCTTTACTTTTGTCGCTCCAATAAATATAAAAATAAGTTATTACAAAATACTAAGTTATTTGACATTTAAAGACAAAACTCTTTATACTGCATGATTATTGGTTTCCACAGTCATTCGTGGAATGGGTAATATTTCAGCCAATATTAATTTTGGGCGATAGAACCATAAAATTAAGTTTATTTTAGGGAACATTACAGCTTGGGCAAAGTATCAGACGGATTACCTAAAACCGATCAACAAACTGCTGCAGAGCTCAAAATCGCCAGAGATTGTTAAAATTCGGGGACTATTTAAACTGCATCTAGAACTCATTACTCAATGGTCGACTTGGAGTATGTGTCAAGTATGCGGACGCCCTCAAGGTCAAGGAATAAGGAGGAAAACTGGAAAGTGCAAAATTAAAATCACGCCCTCGACTAACGCGATCAATTTGACGCTTCCCGATGATATTTATTTGTTCAATGCTCCCGCAATTTCATGCAGGAGTCAAAGACTGCATCATCTGTTTCCCGGATTTAGTAATTTAACACGAATCATTCCTGATTTCGTTCTGCAGGAAAGGTGTGACGGAATATGCAGTCCCGATGCGGAAGGAATCGGTAAAGGTGCGTAACGTCTATATACGGAGCGTTTGTTGAAAATATTAGGCAATTTCTTAATGAAAACAGGTTCCGCGAAATAGCATTACCGAGATACTTCCTGAAATAAATGTCTTTTCCACTGGCATAATGGAATCAAACTGTTCAACAACTATTATATCATAAAGTAGGTTATAAATAAAGGTCAATTAGGTATTACCATAAGCAGACTATTTTGTCTTTTTATTCCTATCTTATCATATTAGCTGTTGATATTGCAAATCTTCTTGAATCCTCGTGTTTCAGTTGTAAACCAACACAACTTGCTGACGTTTCGCCAATCATCTCGTTGGTTCCTTCAGAACTTGACTGCAACTGGTTTGCATTCTACTTTGTACCTCCTTAGACAATATTTGAGGGAGGCGGAGCTGTAAAAAAGACATGAATATTGTCTCGGATGACTGATTTCCATATCGTTGAGTCGTGGTTAAGATTTGTTGTTTGTTTGTTGTTGATTTGTTTTTAGTTTGGTCGAATAGGATTTAATTATTATTAATTCCTAATTCAGTGAAGAAGGTGCGTTGGGGTGTATAGTGTATAGAGCTAATAAAAATATCACCTCGCTAGTCTTGGAGTCAGATGGAAAGCCTGTTTCGTTGAAAAATTAAGAGATTAAGTGACACTTCACTATATTTTGCGTTTAGTAAAAACACTTTCGTTGTTTAGGATGGAAAGTGGGTAAAGGCAAAGGCTACAAGTACCGCAAAACTTCAGTCTTGCAGGAAAACTCCCATTTAACTTTCGTTTGTCCAGAATCAACTTTGGACAACCGGGTCGTCTGGAAGAAGAACGGTAAAGTTCTCAAAAAAGGAGACAACAGTTACCCCCATGTCATGGTCGACACATTCAGCACGTTGTATTTGATTGAGGTGACTCGCTCGGATGCTGGCAACTACACGTGCGAAGTAGACGATATCAGAATGCAGCAAATTGTCGTATTCGTCCATTCGAAAACGAAACTTTTAACGGGCGAATTGGTCCGCTACATGGTTTACTTGGGATTTATTTTATTTCTGTCATCGTTTTGCTATTGCGCTGGCTTAGTCGTGACATGTCAGAGACGACATACCTTCAAGAGTTACCGAGATCTCAAAGAGCAAGAGCCGGACCATAAAAAGCAAGAATACGAGAGTTTAATTAAATGATTTTTATAAATAAGTATTACATCGTTGATTAAGAACATAGAATTATAGCCGTTGTTTGGTAGTAAAACCCCAATCTTTTATACCACGTGTCCAAAAAATTTGGAAGCGATGGAATATCTCGAGAATGATGCAATTGGCCAAAAAATAAAAAAGCCTTTAAATATTGAAAAAAAACTGTACATTAACATCAAACCTGCGTCCCCACCCCACCCCAGCTCAGTGGTGGTGGGTTGAAATCTTAAATAGAATCCAGAACTTTTATTCTAGATTCGGATTCTATGCGACAAAGGCGTGAAGTATTGGTTAGTTTTGGTATTTCGGTAAATGGCGTTGTAATAACAAATAAAACATTGGAAAATTTAGATGTATTCTAGTCTGTTACTCTCCACTCTAATCAATTGAAATTACTAAATTTTTTCAAACCTTTGGGTATGTAGGCAAATGTAGTTTGTTAGTTTTCGTGTGTTTACCGAAAAATTTGAAGTTCAAAAAAAAAATTAAAGGAAAACACCTGCCTTGAAAGGAATTGAATTTTCTTTTTGACCTTTTCCTTTTTAAACATTATAAAGTATTCTTCTTTTTGCTTTACTTCGCCATAAACCAATAATGAGAGGGATTTTACTACTGGATTCCTTTAATTCCATTATGCAGTTTTTCCAGGTAAGGAAATATTACATTAACTTTCGCGTATTCATCTAAAATCTCGAATCAAGCGACGCGGATTGCAAAATCGCGGCGTCCAATTTCTAGAACAATATTCGATTTGCTATTTTAAACACCTGGTCATGTTCCACATCTTTCCAGGCACAAGATATCTCCGCCCTTTATAGGGATACGCGAGTTCCGCTTTTATTTGTTTTTTAATAAATCAACCGCATGTGGCTTTTATGTGACGTATTTGGCCTATCGCTTTATTATTCTATTGCGACAGTGTCCCGGAAAGATACCGAACGAGGAGAAGGAATGGGTGGGGTGTGAGGAGGAGGAGGCTGCTCCCGTTTTCAAACGTGAGATCCGAACAACATCGGGAAATTGGGATACTCGCGCGTACGTGAATAAATTTGTTATGGATGTATTTTTTGCAAGTCGCTGTCTAATTTTGTCAAATGCTCACGTTTTGTATTATTTGTGGGAGCGTCGAATTTTTTGCCAACTGTTTAGCTTGGGCGTAGAAAATATTCGGGTTTTTGGCATTTGTGGTGGTAAAAAATCGAAAAAGAAGTAGTTAATTTATTGTTTGTTTTAGTCTATGTTTAATACGGGTGCTGCATGCATAATAGTATAACATAACATGTTAAACCCTCCCGAAAATTTTAACTTTTGATGTGCTGACATCTCTCGTAGAGTGGCGAAACTAGATCGGACGTTTTTGATTAGAAAGTGTCACTACTTTGCGTTTGAACACTAGTTTTAAGCCCATTTAGCTATGTTGTGCATTTGTAAGAATTTTTCTCAGCGTACCTAAGTGTGATATTTGAAACAATTATGTTATTTTATGTGGTCAGCATATCGTACTAAATTGGTAACGGTTCTATTTGGAATAAATACATTATAAAGTTGCATCAGGTAAGTTGTAACAATTCAGCAGTTAGCATGAAAACAATATATCCAACATACGAGGGGGTACCCATAAAAAACCGGAATTGAATTGCCGCGCGCAGAGCTTGGATAGTACACCTTTCTGCCGCTAGGTTGTGGATAGTACAACTTATTGCGAGTTTTAAATTTAACTTGTTTTGTTCACTTGCAGTGCCATTTTTTGTTAATGCTGTTTTATTGTTATTTCGTTTTTTTCGAGTGCAAGTTTAAAAGAACAACGTGCAGCTGTGAAATTTTGTTTTCTGCTCGGTAAAAGTGCTGCTGAAACTGTTTCTATGTTAAAAACAGCTTATAAAGACGATGCGATGGAAAAAACTCAAGTGTACCAGTGGTTTATTCGCTTCAAAAATGGCGACGAGTCAATTGATGACCGACCTCGTACTGGACGTCCATCAAGTGCTCGAATCGACGAAAATATTGAAAAGATTCGAGAGTTTGTGCTCACAGACCGTCGACAGACAATTGAACAATTATCAAAGATTAGTGGGTTGTCTTGGAGCACGGTTCAGCGAATTTTAACCGAAGAGGACATGCAAAAAGAACATCGAGTTGAAACATGTCGTGCTTTGAATCAACAGCTTGAAACGGATCCAGATTTTCTTTCAAAGATCATTACTGGCGACGCGTCATGGTGCTATGGTTACGATCCAGAAACGAAGCAACAGTCCAGCGAATGGAAGACGTCACTGTCTCACCGTCCAAAAAAATGGCGTCAGGTCAAATCAAACATCAAAACGATGCTGATTTGCTTTTTCGACATCAACGGCGTAGTTCATGCAGAGTTCATGTAGCGGACAGGGAACTGGTTCTTCCACCACGATAATGCACCTGCACACACAGCCATTTCTGTTAAGCAGTTTTTGGCTAAAAATGGCATGGTGCCTCTGCCCCATGCACCTTAATCGCCTGATCTCGCTCCGTGTGAATTCTTCTTATTTCCACGTATGAAAAGGGACATGAAAGGACAGCGATTTAATAACATTGAAGAGGTCAAGAAAAAAAGGAAGGACGAGATGTCGGCTATAGCCAAAGATGAATATAAAAAGTGTTTCGAACAGTGGAAGCACCGCTGGGACAAATGTATTAGTTCTAATGGAGAGTATTTTGAAGGGGATAAGGTCGTTCTGTGATTTTCAAAACAATATATAGTTTATAAAAAATGATTCCGGTTTTTTTTGGGTACCCCCTCGTAATAACCCTTTTTCTCTCACTGTAACTGATTAAATGAAGTGTGTTAAATTGAGTACAGTTTGTACTCAAAATAAAGATAAAGTGATAGATCAGTTACATAAGCAGGTTTTGCAAATTATGAATCCAAATTAAAGTGTCGCTCCTATTTTCCGATCAATATACTCTACCTTTCCGTTTTCACTTCTAGGGTCTGGTTCTTAATCCATTCTTATTGAACTGTAGAACCTTAGCCGTGTTCTAAAGGCGTACTATTGAAGATTGTCGACAGTCCCGAGAATGGCAGGCAAACGGACAGGCAGTTATCCGCCTGTTCCTTACTGTTTAAAGTTAGAAATAATATAAGGTTGTTCGGAAAGTCATTTCGTTTTTTCCCGTCAGAGGACTTAATTACGTTTTTTCGAAACCAACTTCACACTTAAGCCGCATAACCATTGAGAGCTGATATTGCAAGGCTTGTGTGTGAATAAGTTCTATTAATTCTACCCAGTAGTTTTTGGTTGGTGCCCTTTTAAATATGGAGAGCAATAAGCAGCATTTTCGTAATATTTTACTTTTTTACTTCAGAAAAGGTAAAAATGCTGTCCAAGCGAGAAAAAAATTGACGGATGTGTATTGAGAAGGCGTGTTAACAGTACGCCAGTGCCAGAACTGATTTGCAAAATTTCGATCCGGCAATTTTGATGTCGAAGATGCACCACGGTCTGGAAGGCCGGTCGAAGCTGACAAAGATGCGATAAAGGCATTAGTTGATGCAAATCGGCGAGAGATTAAATTTGTCGAATTCGACTGTTTATAGCTATTTGAAAGGCATGGGCTTAACCTCGAAGCTCGATGTGTGGGTGTCCCATGTCCTTACAGAGCGAAATTTGTGTCGTCGCGTTGACGTGTGTGATTCGCTCCTCAAACGTCAAGAAAATGATCCATTTTTGAAGCGGATTATTACTAGGGACGAAAAATGGGTGGTATACAACAATGTTAAACGCAAGAGGTCATGGAGCAGAAAAGATGAACCGGCTCAAAGCGTGTCAAAAACCAACATTCACCAAAAAAGGTGATGCTCTCCGTTTGGTGGGATGTCAAAGGCCTCTTTTTTTTGAGCTTTTGTCGGACAATACAACGATTAATTCAGAAGTCTATTGTCATCAACTGGACAAATTGAATGATTCACTTAAAGAGAAGAGGCCCGAATTAATCAACAGGAAGGGTGTAGTGTTCCACCAGGATAATGCGAGACCTCACACAAGTTTGGTCACTCGCCAAAAACTTTTACAGCTTGAATGGGACGTACTGCAACATCCACCATATTCTCCAGATCTGGCGCCTTCCGACTACTATTTGTTCCGGTCCCTGCAAAATTTTTTGGATGGCAAAACCTTTAATATGGCTGGAGTTGGAGTTAAAGGTCACCAAAGAGAAGTACGCGAAGGAAGGAGACTGTAATATATGAGGATAAAAACACTGCAATCAGAATAATAATAAATAAAAAATTAAAAAGAACAAAATTACAAAATTATATATCTAATTAAATTTTGCAGCAAAGGGCTAAAAAAGTCTGACATTTGACAAAGCCAGATATTGCTACAGTCCAAAATTAAGAAACACAGAGCAACAGAGTTGGAGTGGGACCGTGAGGGAATTAAGGACAAGAAAGTAAAGGTTAAAGAAAAGTAAAGTTGAGTGTTAACAGCTAAGATTATCATCATAAGACCTAAAAATGTCATCTATTACAGATTTAAAACCTGACTGTTTGAGGGAAAAATACTGTTAATATTGAGAAATGCTTTTCTTTGCTTATGCATTATTATCTCTAAAATCTTAGATGGTATAGGCAGAATAGAATGCAAATGATCAAACTCTATAGATTTTTATTAGTTTATAGTTAGGAAAAAAATATATTCTTTAATTATGTGGGCAATATACTCATGATCTCATTCTACCCATCAATTAGAAGAAATTGTGGAAAATTTTGAAAGAAATGAATTTTCTTACGAAAAAAACTCATAACAATCACTTCTAATTGAGAAAGAAGGATTTATCTCCTCACACCAACAATATTTTGGAGCAGTTGGACAGTTTCGAAGGGAGAACATGAATATCTCCAATCTGGACGAAACCTCGGTAAATGGTGGATATACCTTTGGTAAAAAATGCCAGGATAAACATTTAAAAAACGCGAGGCAAGTTTTTATGGAAGAATGGTCCACTAGAAA